GAATATACGTGGCCTCAGGGGTAATCTGGGTGCGAGGGTAGCTTCAGATGTTAATCTCCCAGTTTGCCCCGGTTGGTGTTTGCTTAAAGGAATACCAAAACTTACTCTCTGCTGTTAATTTCTCACATCTCAGGGGCTATAATTTTATTGTTTTCTTCAGATCACTTTTTCCTGAAATGGGAACTTCTAATGAAGTGCCTTCTTCTCCGCACTGATATTCCGTACCATCAGCTTTTTGTTCATACTACGCTGCATTACACAGACCCAGCCGTATCCACTTACATAGGTGAGTATACGCTCTGTTCTTTTTATCTTCTCCTTCTCGGGCATTATCTATCCGGATTTTTGCCATTCATTGCTTTTGTTCACATTACCGCCACCCAATTCTGTTACTTGGTGTGATTTTATGCCCACCATTTCCTCTGGGGAGGGTATCTCTGTCGATTCCCGTGGAATTCAGATTAGAGGCTTTTTTGCCACCCACCCCCTCCATGTTTTAAATACAGGTACTCAACCCATATTCTTGAATCCCTCGGATATCATACTTCCTCTTGCTTCGATCTCTCAGTTTGCTCTTCTCCGCCGCTTTAGACTTTACCTTGGTTGTTCTCCGGGACTTACATGACAGAGATTATTTCCCAATCATTCTTACTTCCCCTTCATATTCGCCACCTCTTCGCCTCCCCACGCTGGCAATTTAATAGCGGCAAATTGGATACTTTACTCACACCTGACTTGTTTTTAAAGAGGTTTCCTTCTTCGTTCCTCCATCGATGAGCCTTTTACAACCTCTTCTAAAATCCTCCGTTTTCACCGCAGCTTTCATTCTATACCCAAACTTCGAGCAGCATTCTCAGAAATGCGCTTGTGGCCTCTTGGTGGTCTCCTGCTTGTGCTCGTGCAGTACGTTTGAAACGGCTGCATGGGGCAGGTACCGGTACAATAGAAACCAACCTGAGGAATACTTGATTTTAAACAGAAGCCGTGCGGACTTCGCTAGCCGTTGTCATCCCGTGAAGCTGAACGCACTTGCTGGCGACGATTATGTCTCCACCATCACCCTCTGCTCTCCTCTATGAGTGCAGTCTGGAAAAATGTACGAAAAAACTGAGTGGTAATTCTTCTCCTGACCGGCGTCTGTTCTGCGGGTTGCCGCGTGTTGATATAGCAAACCCAATAGATGTTGCCAATGATATTGGCAATCATCTGGTCCGTATTTCTCGGGACTCCATCTATGCCCTCATTTCTTTCATCAAAGTCTGCCAGAGAGTTAGCTAACACTTGGCGGACTTTTCTTCTCTCAGATAAGAACAGTATAATGTGCCTTTTACACTTCAAGAACTGGAGGCAACATCTCAGCTTGTCGTTCATCGGCAGGCCATGGGGCCCACGACGACATTTTATTCGATGCTACAACATGTTACATCAGTCAGTCAGCCCTGCAGTCATATTACGCCTTTACAATCTTATTTGGTCACAAGGTGTTCTTCACAGCTGTGGAAATCCGCCAGAATGCTTCTCCCTTTCCGCACAAACCAGGACAACTTACGGGACATGAAACCTCCCATCCTATGTTCCCATGCTCTTACCAGTGCAGTTTGCAAAGTAATGGAACGTCTAGTAATAGACGTTTAGTGTGGTATTTAGAGACAACACCAACAGTCTCTCCACTCGTCCTAATATGGCTTTCGTAAGGGCCGTTCTAGCCATAGACCCCTTACTGCGCTGGATACGTATGTTCGTAATGCTTTGCGAATATCCACTCAGTTATTGCCATAATTTTTTGAATCTGGAGAAGGCATATGAACAACTTGGAGGTCTAATACTTTTAGCCAAAGCCCACGCCTTAGGCCTTCGAGGCAATCTTCCATCCTTCCTTAAGAAAATTTTTAACTGACAGGCATTTCCGTCGTGTTCGGTAAAATTAATGTGCTCTCCCGGACTTTTATCCCAAGCTGAAGGTCTGTCCCCAGTGATGTGTTCTCCCCCCGAGCACAAATCTTTTCTCCTTGCATTAATGATTTGGCCTCTAGTCTTCCCATCAAATAATTGCGTCATCACTCTATGTTGATGACCTCGCTATTGCCTGTGCAGGCGCTTGACTGTCACCTACTTACAGTTTCTTCTCCAACGCATGCAGTCGTCCGTGTTTCATTGGGCCACCACACATGGGTTTTAAATATTTCCAGCATATTCCAAACCCACAAATCACTTTCACACTAGAGCTCTGTTCATCTCTGATCATCCTTTTGTACCTCTATGGCTCACGTAACCCTGAACGTGATACAGTCAAGTTCTGGGCCTCCTCTTTGATCGTTGGTTATCCTAGGAATACCTTCACATTACCTCTCTGAAGGCAACTTGTCACAGCTCGGTGAATCCTTCTTAAAACCCTTGCTCATCTTTCGTGGGAGCTGATCGCGCGAACCTCCTTCACATACATTCCCACCCTTATTTTATCGAACTTGATTATGCGGACCAGATCTATTTCACGCGGCATCTCCTGCCTACTCTCTCTAGGCACTTAACCCCATTTCATCAACCCAAGGATTACGTTTTGCCTTGGTGCTTTTCGCTCTTCCTGTCGAAAGCCTCTATGCAGAAGCGAACGTTCCATCCCTTATCCGATCGCCGTATGCCATTGCCTGCGTACTATGTACGCTCTCATGATCTCCGCAATCCCTTTCCATTTATAGAATGGTCACTGATATTAGTAGACATTCTTTTATTGTTCGCCGCCCCTGCTTACTCCGTCCCTTCTCCTCTTCGCCTCATTCGCTCTTGTCTTTCTCTTAAACTACCCAACCTTTCTCATGTACATGTAGCATCACACTTTTCACTAACCCCCTGGGAAGTTCCAGCGTTCGAGTCTGTTCTTTCTCCTCCCTTTGCTCGAAAGCCAACTGTATAAGGTCGTTCCCGCTTCTTTTTCTTGACCCACTTTCACTCTCATTCTCATTTGCCATGGCCGTTGTACACAGATGGCGCAAGCGTACTTCTGACGGCGTAGGATTCGCAGCAGTGTTTCCGGGGGAACAGCGTCGTACAAGGGCATTTACTATCTTCAGCTTAGTATTTTTACTGCTGAATTATATGCATCCTCTTACAGCACTTAATCCGTATTTGCATCTATGCCTGTGTCATCATTGTGGTTGTCTCAGACTCCCTTAGTGCTTTACAGCGCTATACAAAAATTTGATTACCACCTCACCCTTAGTTCCTCCGTATCCAACTTTGGCTACGCCGCTTCTTTACTAAGCACTAAAGTATTGTTTTTTTGTTGGGTCCCTGGTCATGTTTGACGTACAGTGGCAATGAACAGGCAGGACACTGTGCGCGGTCAGCAGATACATGACCTACAAGTTTCTTATAGAATTTAAAGGTATTCCATGGTAAGGACTATTTTGCTTGTATTTATTTCCCACCTTCACACCCGTTGGCAACACGTTGGTCTACTATGGTCGGCAACAAACTTCGTCTATTTTAAACCGAGTAAGTATAGGGTTACTGGCCGTCTTCTTATCACCACAGTGTCGAGGTTGGGGTGGACTCTCTCTCCCGTCTTCGCATCGGACCATACTCGTCTTACTCATGGTTATCTCATGGAAGTGGCGTCTTGCTCCTCTCTGTGAATTGCCAAGCTTCCACATTATCAGTCAGCCAACATTTCTGTTGGACTGCCACTTTATCAACGAGCACCGCAGAATTTACCTCTTGTGTTCTTCGCCGCTCTGCTCGGCTCTCTCTTTACCTTACCTTCTCGCTTGTGGAACCTTTCAATCCGGGACTCTCTCATTGACTTTTTGACAATCGGACTGCATTACCCACAAATTTTGATACCTTTCAGCCCTTTCTACTTGTATCTCTTGCTACCCTCTACCCCCGTTACTATACCCTGCCCCGCTGTTTTCTGTAACCTGTGATCATCCCCCTCTTCTGCCATCCAAGATCCCTTGCTTCCTTCCCCTACCTGCTGCGCTGTATAGACCTGTGGCTTAGCGCTGCTTTTTGATTATAATAATAATATGTACTGTGCCAAAATAAAAGCATTCACATTGCTAAACTCACAAACTAGTATTTAGTCACTTAGCCATAATACCAACTTACCTCATAATTTGTAATATTTTAAAATAAGGAATTAAACTATGTCTGTATTATAAGGTTATGTCGTAGACCAGACTGGCTATAAGACCATAATTTTTAAAGGGGTGGACCGGTAAGCCAGCGGAAGGCCTCGGTCAGATGACCAAAAGCTCCAAAGGCGGGTCATCATCTGACTAAGACCCGCGTCAGGAAACATTTGTCCTGTTTCCTGACGAACCTTACCTACCTAACCTAACTAAGTCCTGCCGAAAGCTATGTCTAGCATGCTAGGTGTTCTAGTGGTACACTCTGTAATCATTATTTAACTACATGTAAACCACACAGTAACCAAATTCTGTAAATTCAGCATTGTAATCCTTATAGAGAATAAACTTTGAATTGAATAGTCCTGAGCAAATGAGCGACTCTATGACGTACTATCCATCCCCCCCCCCCCCGTTTGTCATCAAGAAGGCTTTGGACAGGCACCTGTTGTTCGTACGTCGGTTTACGTGCGGCCAACAGTAACAGCCTGGGTGATCAGGCCCTGATCCACCATGAGGCCTGGTCTCAGACCGGGCCGTGGGGGCATTGACCCCTGAAACCCTCTCCAGGTATACACTTACTGCAAGAACGTAAGCTACATAGAATGTACGGCACTTATAGGTAAGACAATAAGTTATATAGACTATAAATGGCACTAAATGTAAGAAAATAAAATATATATAAAACATATGACACTTCTAGGTAAGAAAATAAGTTCAATAGAACATAAACGACACTTTGTTGTGGGGTTGACGATTTGTGTGTGTGAGAGCAGCCGACGCCATGCTGCAGTGACCGTCACACTGCCGCCGCCGCCGCCGCCGCCTCACCTGCACTAATATTTCACTAAAATCCTCACTCACCTCGTACATTATTTATATCGTGGTAGTGAAAAGGAAGCTGCAGCGGTGAATACACAGCATGTCGATGAAAATGGCTCCTGCGTCCATGAAGAGGCAGAGTAAATCAGAATTTAAAGACAAGGAGAAACCCGCTCAGATCAGGAATAGTAATATAGTTCCCTGCCAAAGGTTAGTCAAAAACTATTGATTTTTAAACTTTGTGATGTCAGCCTTTTATTATTTTACATGGAACTTCTTAAAAAGGTGTCTTGATGCTGGTGAAGGGCCCTTGGTCTCTGGAACTCTGCTTTTATTTATTTTTCTTAGATTGAACCAGAATGGCTCTTATATCACAGGAGCCTCACGACCCCTACAGGTTTAGTGCTTCATTCTGATTAAAGTAAAGTAAATAACATTGCTGGTAAAAAGGTTTTGAAGCAAGGAAATTGAGGCTACCCCACCCAAAATGCTATGAATCCTATGGGCTTTTAAGATTGAGTGTCTTATACAGTAATTTTTTAAATAAGGATTTATATTTGTATCTTCAGATATAATGAGATTGACTCATTCCTCCAGGACTGTATGATCCTTAAGAGTTTAGCGCATAATTATATGCAGGCTCTGGTGGCCTGGTGGGCTAAACCTCTCTTCACACGGGGAGGGTCTGGGTTCGATTCCCAGCCAAGTGGAAACATTGGGCGTGTTTCTTTCCACCTGTTGTCTATGTTCCCCATCAGTAAAATGGGTACCTGGGTGTTAGTTGACTGGTGTGGGTCGCATCCTGGGACACTGACCTAAATTGCCCGACATGCTGAGCATAACGAGCGGCTTTATATATAGTAGTATGTCATTGTTGTCAGCTAGGACTGTATACCTTGTACATGTACTTGTAGTAAATAAAGATATTATATTATTATTATTAAGAATGATGAAGCACTGCAGTAGGCCTATTGACCCATGCTGGATAAACCCAACTCGCCCCCACACCCACTCACTTGTATACCCATCAAACCTATATTTAAAGATGCCTCAATGATGCTATCTAGAAGATAATTCCATTCGTCTATGACTAAATTGCCAAATCAATACATTCCTTTATTCTTTCTGTGCTGTATAGCTCTTGTGGTTTAGTGCTTCTTTTTGATTATTATAATAATATTCTTTCTGTAAGATAAGATTTGTTTACATTTTTAACCTGGAGGGTTAGCCACCCAGGATAACTCAAGACAGCCAGTGCATCATTGAGAGACTGTTTTATTTTCACTGGGGTCCTTCAATCTTGTCCCCCAGGATGTGACCTTCAGCAGTTAACTAACACTCAGGTACCTACTTACTGCTAGGTAAACAGGGACAGAAGGTGTAAGGAAACACGCCCAATGTTTCCATCCAGATAGGGATTGAACCACAGACACCGTGAGGCAAGAGCATTGCTTACCGAGCTCCTATGAGTTTAGAATGTAGTAATAATAATACATGTAATCTAAATTTGTCCAAGTTGAATCTGTTGCTCTATCTTGGTTATGTACTTTCAGCATGTTTGTCCTTTATTCCTGTTTTTAACACATTGGCCATTTCCTACCGAGGCAGAGTGACACTTAATCATATACCCCATACGCAGTTCTACATTTTTATGCTGCAAATTTAGTGCCTGTCTTTATAGGAAAGGCTTTGGATACATGGGATAAACTTTTTCAGCTTTCCCTGGATAGTTCTCTTGGGACGGGAAGTGAGATGTATAATCTAAATGAAGCCTTACCAAAGATATATAAAGTTGAAGTATTGTGTGAGGTCTCCTATTACAGTGGTCCCTCAATAATCGTCCGGCCTGAAAGTCGTCCATTTCGGAAATAGTCCTGTTTTTTCGTCAAAACATTGACTCGGGAAATGGTCCGGTAACTCGCTAATAGTCCTTCGTCCCGGAGGCGTACTTATGGTCTGAGCCGCCTCCAGCTGCCTCGGCCTTTCCTTCCCACCAGTGTGCCATTTTTTACCAGTGAGCGACGGTCCCCTCATTTGCTCCAGCGAAATATTTCATATTTCATTTATTTTAGTGCTTGCAAGTTATTTAAGTGCTAAATAAGCTACATGGCTCCAAAGAAAGCTCCTAGTGCCAAGCCTTTGGTAAAGAAGGTGAGAAATACGTTTGAATTTAAGAAAAACTTTAATTGAACAATATGATAGGGGTTTGTACGTGTGGGCGAACTGGCCAGGATGTATAACAAATCCCGTACATCATAGCCAAGAAAAAGGAAATAAATGGATGCTGTTTGTTGAAAAGGGGGGTATATTGCTGACAAAAATGAGATCCCAGTACTTGAAATGTTGAGAAGTTGTTATTGGTGTGGATAAATGAGAAACAAATTAGCAGGAGATAGTCTTATGACGTCGCTTATTTGTAAAAAGGGGCTAGGCAGTTGCATGACGATTTGGTAAAGAAATTGCCTGCAACTAGTGATGATGTGAGTGAATTTAAGGCCAGCAAAGGCTGGTTTGAGAGATTTAAGAAGCGTACTGGCATACAGTGTGGTAAGGCATGGTGAGGCTGCCAGTTGGGAAACCACAAGGCGGCTGAAAAATGTGGCATGAATTCTAGGAGTACACAGAGGCTGAAGGACTGAAACCTGAACAAGTTTTTCAATTGTGATGAAAACAGGCCTCTTTTGGAAGAAAATGCCAAAGAGGACCTACATTACTCAAGAAGAAAAGGCGCTGCCAGGACAATAAGCCTATTGAAAGACAGGCTGACGCTCATGTCTGTGTAATGCTAGTGGGGATTTCAAAGTGAAGCCATTACTAGTGTACCATTCTGAAAATCCCAGAGGTGTTCAGGAAAAACAATGTTATGAAGAGTAAATTGTGTGTGTTTTGAAATCAATAGTAAGGCATGGGTCACGAGGGAATTTTTGTACAGTGGTTCAATGAAGTGTTTGGCCCTAGTGTGAAGAATTACCTCCTGGGGAAAAAAATTGGATCTCAAGTGCCCCCTAGTAATGAACAATGCACCTGCTCACCCTCCAAACTTGGATGACCTAATTCTGAAGGAGTTTGGGTCATCACAGTAAGTTCTTGCCCCCGAATACCACTCCTCTCCTCCAGCCCATGGACCAGCAGGTCATTGCAAGCTTTAAAAAAACTCTACACCAAAGCAATGTTTGAAAAATGCTTGAATGTGACCTCAGACACTCACTTGACCCTACGAGATTTTGGAAAAAACATTTAAAGTATTCCCATTGCTAAACCTTATAGGTAAGGCTTGGAAGGGAGTGACTACCAGCCCTTTGAAAAATTTCTTGGAGAAAATTGTGCCAATTGTTTCACAAGAGGGATTTTGAAGGGTTTGGGCGACCCTATGAGCCTATGTCAGTTGTTAAATCCATTTTTGGCACTGGGACTTCCATGGGGTTTTAGGATTTGAAGAGTTGGGGGAGGACAAATGAAGCTAACCACTGAGAAGTTGCCAAGAGCTTCAGCAGACAGCAACAGATGCAGCTCAGAATCTTGCTGCCGAGGAGAGGAAGAAGATGGAGAAGGTCCTTCTTCAGAATTTAAGAAGATTTTTGAATGTGGGTAGAGAAGGATTTGGCAAAGCCATTTTCGAACTTTTTACGTGACAGAGTCTTGGCCCATTTAGGAATTTTTAAAAAGACCCAAAAACAGAGCCCTGGACAGTTTTTTTTGCGAGACAGGACTCCATTTGACCCTCAAGGTGGTCCTAGTGGCTTTAAGAACAGAGAAGAGAAGTAATCCCAGAAAAGCAATTGGTACCTGGGTTTGATGGAAAGGATTCCCCTCCAAACAGTAATTCATCCAATCCAGTCTCCTTCTCCATCTTCCATCCCACAAAGAAGAATCCCCAAATTTAAAGGCAAATGTTATTCTGTTAATGTTTAATTCATCATGTGCCACTGTATTGTTTATGTATTATATCTATATTTCATGTAAAAAAATTTTTTTGTTTTAATACTTCTGGGTGTCAGGAACAGATTAATGGAATTTACATTATTTCTTATGGGGAAAATTGATTCGTAAATCGTCCATTTTGATAATAGTCCCACTTCCAGGAATGGATTATGGACGATTATTGAGGGACCACTGTATTGATGCTTCTTTATACAAAAACCCTATTAGTTTTATTGTGAATACTTGTGCATTATTGTCTTGGTTTTCAACTTGTGCTAACTAGACCTCCTAATCTGTTTTGAATTCAGCTTGTTTCAAGATCTACATTATTAGAACCTTAAATTTGTCCACATTAAATTGTATCAACCTCGTCTACAACCACATCAACCTATGCACACCATATAATGTGATGGTTGCCTCATTGTTTGACCCCTATTGGGTTAGTGCTTCTATTACAATACAAATAAGAGCTGATACAAATAAAGGCTAAACACTCATCTTGTATGTATAACTTTACATAAGAACATAATGGAGGAAAACCACGACTACGTAGCCCTGCTGGCCCATGCTCTCATCATGTATACATTATATATTTTTATTACCCTTTTTTTAAAAAGCTACTCAAGTTTTAGTTTTGAAAACCCTACGTAACTGTGCAAATATGAATTAATGTAATTTTTTGAAATACATTGGCCCCAACATTCGATGGAAATCGACATTCGATAAATCGAATTCGATGGATTTGTCTCGTTTCGACAGACGTGTCCACGTGTGGCCTAAAACTTGCACCGTGTGCCAGTGTTTACAACCACAGTGTGTGCGCATCTAAGGATACTTTCGGTACATTCCTATCCTTTTTTGGCTTGTTCCTTCTGAAATTAAGTAACCAGGGGCCCCAAGAAAGCCTATAGCCAAGCCTTCGAGAAAAAAGGAGCAAATTTACTATTGAAATGAAAAGGAAAATTTAACAAAGTATAAAGTGATTGCGTGTTGTCGGAGTGGCCGGGTTGTTTAGTAACCCCAAATCAACCATTCACTATATGAGCAGAAAATGACAATCAAGGAAGCTGTTTTTGCAAAAGGTGCAACTTTGTTTTCGAAACAGAGATCGCTAGTGGTTAGAAATGTTAGAGACTTTATTGGTGTGGATAAATGAAAAACGATGCGAATTTAGCATTCTCATGCGATTTTTGTGAAAAGGCTAGCAGTTGCTGATGATTTGTAAGAAATTGCCTGCAACTAGTGCTGATGTGACTGATTTAAGGCAAGCAAAGGTGGTTTGAAAGATTAAGAATAAATATTGGGCATACATAGTGTGATAAGGCATGGTGAAGCTGCCAGTTTGAACCACAAAGCGGCTGAAAAATATGTGCATAAATTCAAGGAGTACATAGAGGCTGAAGGATTGAAACCTGAACAAGTGTTTAAACTGTGACGAAACAGGCCTGTTTTGGAAAAAAATTGCCGAGCAGGACCATTACTCGGGAGGAAAAGGCCCCTCCCAGGACATAAGCCTCTGAAAGACAGGCTTACTTTTGTAAGGGGTGCCAATGCTAGTGGTGATTCCCAAAAGGGTGAAGCCTTTATTGGTGTACACTCTGAAACTCCCCAGAGTGTTCAGGCAAAAGAATGTCCTTAAGGCTAATTTGTGGTGCGTGGAGGGCAAACAGTAAGGCATGGGTCACTAGGGACTTTTTCTATGACTGGTTACACCCTGCATTTGCCCCCACTGTGAAAAATTACCTAACTGAAAAAAAATTAGACCTTAAGTGCCTCCTGGTATTAGACAATGCCCCCGGTCATCCTTCAGACGTGGCAGAGCGACTTTTCTGCAGACATGAGCTTCATTAAGGTGAAGTTTTGCCTCCTAATACCACTCCTCTCCTGCAGCCCATGGACCCGCAGGGCATTTTTTCCCCAACTTCAAGAAATGTACACAAAGTTACATTTCAAAAGTGCTTTGTAGTGACCACATAACTCTACTGACTAAAAGGTTTTTGGAAGGATCACTTTAATATCCTCAGTTGCATAAAACCCTTTTAGTAAGGCTTGGGAGGAATGACTAAGAGGACCCTTGAACTCTTTCTTGGAAAAACTTTTGGCCAGAATGGGGTAGACAAAAGGGATTTTGAAGGGTTTTGAGGCTAAACCCCGAGAATCCTATGCCAGTTGAGGAATCCATTGTGGCATTGGGGAAGTCCTTTGGGGTTGGAGGTTAGTGGGGAGGATGTGGAAAGTTGGAGGAGGAGGGAGGACAGTGAAAAGGGAATAACCGCTGATGAGCTGCTAGATCATCTTCAACAGCAAGAGGCCAGACCTGAGGAAACTGCTTCAGAGAGGGGATAGGGGAAATTGAGTTGCCTATTCAAAGATTAAGGAAACGTGTGGAAAGTGGCTTGAAGTGCAAACCTTTTTTGATGAAAATCACCCTGACACCGCTACTGCAAGCCGTTGTTTTGGAACCCGTACACTGACAATGTTGTGAACCACTTTAGGAAAGTCAAAAGGAGCGAGAGGTACAGGCCTCTATGGACAGATATGTTGTGCGACAGAAGTACAGTGGACTCAAGGCTGGTTCCTAGTGGCATTAAAAAGAAGGAAGTAAACCCCAGAAAAGGACTTGCTACCTCAAGTCCTAATGGAAGGGGAAATTCCCTTCTAAACAGTAACAACCTTGACTCTCCCCTCCTCCCATCCCATCAATCATCACCAATCTTCATTAAAAGGTAAGTGTCAAATATTCTGTTGTTATTAATGTAATAAATATTGCTGTTATTGTAATTTATTTTATTGCATTAAACTTATATATTTTCATGTGGTAAAATTTTTTTTTTTCATACTTTTGGGTGTCTTGGGAACGGATTTTAAATTTGATTTCCATTATTTCTTATGGGGAAAATTAATTCAACTTTCGATTTTTCGACATTCGATAGCTCTCAGGAACGGATTTGTATCGAATGTCAAGGGTCCAACTGTACTAAGATTTTAGGAGGAATATGTATTCATTATTTAGTTTTGTCTCCAATTTCTATTGCAGCTGTGGCTGATGCCATCAAAACTTCCCTTGGCCCAAGAGGCATGGATAAGATGATCCAAGATGGGAAGGGTGAAGTCACAATTACAAATGATGGTGCAACCATTTTAAAGCAGATGAAAGTGCTTCACCCAGCTGCTAAGATGCTTGTTGAACTCTCACAAGCACAGGATGCTGAGGCTGGAGATGGTACTACAACTGTAGTCATCTTGGCAGGTAAAATACATATCTTAATATTTTTAACTGTAGAGCCAGTTTATTCATAAAATCTTGTAGCTATATTACTTTCCTCAGCTATATTACTATGCTTTATCTTAAAAGATAAAGCATAGTAATATAGCTTGAGGAAAACAAAGTAGCACTGTTTATGGAACTTCATATGTACATGACTAGGAGAGAGTTACTTGAAATATTGCAGCCCATATGCATTATTTCTTAATGGCATATTTTAGTTTTCTTCAGTATTAACTTTAGAAAATTAAGGAAAAAAATTATTACTCATGAGCCTGAAAAAGATTACAGTAGATATACAAAATTTGATACAAAAATGGCCACAAAAGGAAGTGACTAATTCTGCAGTGCATTTCTTGCAAACTGCTCATAAGGCTTGCGTATCAAAGTCTAGACCTAGCACATTATTTAAGACAAATTGTGTTGTTCGCTACAGTGAGACAGGTTGTAAATAAAAGGTCACTTTATAGAGAATTACTTAGTACAGATACCATCCGACTTACTACCAAGCTTGGTTCCGACCAACCGGTCGTAAGTCAAAATGGACGTAAGTCGAACCTTTGAAAATTGCCGACATGCTGGGTAGGGCATAAAGTCAAACCTTTCCTATATAAACTACCTACATAATACTGTAATGTACAATCATTATTTCATTCTTTTTACCATAATTTACTTTTGTTATATTTTAATTGTTTATGTACTTTATATAATGTATACATGGTAGTGAACTGTATTGTAAATTTTACATCGCATACAGTATCATATGTTACTGTTATCTTTATGTATTGTCGACACAGTGGAATGGGAGAATACCACTGGTAGTGTCACCGTGTCAGAATGTAGTATAACCTATACTCTATACTCTCCATCTTGACTCACGAAATCGTAATGACACGATTGCAAACAAACCATACCCCGGCCGGGATTGAACCCGCGGTCAGAGAGTCTCAAAACTCCAGCCCGTCGCGTTAGCCACTAGACCAGCTAGCCACAATAAGATTCGTCCAACTAGGTATATTTCTACACCATAGGAAGGTTAGCACAGGCACCACTGTGACCACAAATGCAAGTTTTTACAGACGAATCTCTAGCTAGCATGGCCGTGACCAACTCTAGCTCAAGTCCCTTCACTGCCGTCAACATGACTCACGAAATCGTAATGACACGATTGCCTGTGCTAACCTTCCTATGGTGTAGAAATATACCTAGTTGGACGAATCTTATTGTGGCTAGCTGGTCTAGTGGCTAACGCGATGGGCTGGAGTTTTGAGACTCTGACCGTGGGTTCAATCCCGGCCGGGGTATGGTTTATCTCCATCTCTCTCTGTATCTGTATCTCTCTCTCTCTGTATCTCTCTCTCTGTAACTGTATCTCTCTGTATCTATCTGTCTCTCTCTGTATCTACCTGTATCTCTCTGTATCTGTCTGTATCTCTCTCTCTGTATCTCTCTCTCTGTATCTCTCTGTATCTCTCTGTATCTCTCTCTCTGTATCTCTCTCTCTGTATCTCTCTCTCTGTATCTCTCTCTCTGTATCTCTCGCTCTGTATCTCTCTCTCTGTATCTCTCGCTCTGTATCTCTCGCTCTGTATCTCTCTGTATCTCTCTCTCTGTATCTCTCTGTATCTCTCTCTCTGTATCTCTCTCTCTGTATCTCTCTCTCTGTATCTCTCTCTCTGTATCTCTATCTCTGTATCTCTATCTCTGTATCTCTCTCTCTCTCTCTCTCTCTCTCCTCTCTCTCTCTCTCTCTGTATCTCTGTATCTGTATCTCTCTCCCTTTCTGTATCTCTCTATCTCTCTGTATCTCTCTCTATCTCTCTGTATCTCTCTGTATTCTCTCTATCTCTCTCTATCTCTCTGTATCTCTCTCTATCTCTCTGTATCTCTCTCTGTGTGTATCTATCTGTATCTCTCTCCATCTCTCTCTATCTCTCTATCTCTCTCTGTATCTCTCTGTATCTATCTCTCTGTATCTCTCTCTCTCTGTATATCTCTCTGTATCTCTCTCTCTCTGTATATCTCTCTGTATCTCTCTCTCTCAGTATCTCTCTCTGTATCTCTCTCTCTCTATCTCTCTCTCTCTATCTCTCTCTCTCTATCTCTCTCTCTCTATCTCTCTCTCTATCTCTCTCTCTGTATCTCTGTATCTCTCTATCTCTGTCTCTCTTTCTCTCTCTCTGTCAGGTACATGTAAGTAAAGTTATCATACATAGTATAAATTACCTAGGATAACCCAAAAACTCCAGACAAAGTGCTATACAGTGGATCTGTGCTCCAGTGCCCTAAATTAATAATAATAATAATGATATGTTGTGTAACTTTATACGTATATGCTTCTAAACTGTTGTATTCTGAGCACCTCTGCAAAAGCAGTGATAATGTGTGAGTGTGGTGAAAGTGTTGAATGATGATGAAAGTATTTTCTTTTTGGGGATTTTCTTTCTTTTTTGGGTCACCCTGCCTCGGTGGGAGACGACCGACTTGTTGAAAAAAAAAAAAATTATTATTATTACAATAATTCATATGTACTAATATTAATAATAATATTATTAAACTATAATATAATGTGTCCACTCATTACTTACCTTAAAATATCTGTTGTCTTAACCCTTAAACTGTCCAGACAGATCTACGTTCACATGCGTAGTGCTCCAAAAGTAGATCTACATTTTTTAACATATTTTCAAATATAACAAAAAAAAAATGTTGATCAAAGTTTTTTTTACACGTTTTCAAATGTAAAAAAAGAAAAAAGCTGTTTTTTTTATATACTTTCAAATGTTGAAAAAACGTAGATCTACGTTTGGACAGTTTAAGGGTTAATATAGAGTGAGAGGTGAGTAAACAAGATTAAATGAATAAGTGAGAGAGAAAATGAGAGAGTAGAAGGTTCACATGTTATGTAAACAAACGTTGTTGTTGTTGTTGTTACCAGCCCGGACACAAATGGTTTTTGTTTACTGTCAAGCTGACCAGAACATTTCATATTTGTTAATTTATATATTTATATGTTATGTAGCATGTTTATTATATAATTTTGAAAAAAAATCATAGATGGATTAAGCAAAATGTCTGTATTAACGTTTTATACACATTTAATGCGCCTCAGTGATGTACCTCTTAACATAACGATAAACGGATCACCTATCACAAAGCTAACAGAGGGAAAATTCTTAGGAATCCACCTCGATAATAGACTCAAATTTCATACACATATACAACAAATTTCTAAGAAAATTTCCAAGACTGTAGGCATACTATCGAAGATACGGTACTATGTTCCACAGTCAGCCCTCCTGGCCCTTTATCACTCTCTTATTTACCCCTATCTCACCTTTGGAATTTGTGCATGGGGCTCAACAACAATTAACCATCTCAGACCACTAATTACCCAACAAAAGGCTGCAGTTAGAATGATAACAAATTCTCACTACAGGCAGCACACTCCACCAGTATTCAAAACACTCAACCTACTCACCATACAAAACATCCATACTTATTATTGCACTTATTACATACATAGAACACTTAACTCTGATATTAACCCTCCCCTCAAACATCTCCTTGTCAACCTCAACAGAACACATGACCATAATACAAGGCACAGATCACTCTTTGATGTTCCTCGTGTCCATCTCACGCTATGCAAAAACTCAATGCACATAAAAGGCCCTAAAATCAGAAATTCATTACCTGTAAATATAAAAGAAACACTACCTGTTTATAAATTCAAGTCTCTTCTCAAAGTTCACTTACTCACTCAAAACCAAATAAATACTGAATAACTGAACCATATAAATTGTATATCCTAAATGTTACTCACAATTATATCACACAAATGTTAAACCTAACTTTGTTATTTTTTTTTTTTAAATACACTACCTGAATGAACAGCAATGCATGCAACCACATGACCTGTCTTTGTAATACTCATTTGTATTTTATAGTTATCTGTTTACAATAATGTCTTATCACTGATTTCATCATTGCTTAGTTAATCTTAAGTTAATTTTAAGCCAGCCCGTAATGCTATGCATATAAGTGGCTTTGGCATGCTCCTCTTACCTGTATTTTTTTGTATCTCTGTATGTATGCTAAAATTTATTTATAAATTATCATTATTAACCCCTTCAGGGTCCAAGGCCAAAATCTGAAGTGGTGCTCCAGTGTCCAAGAAATTTTGAAAAAAAAAAAAATTATTGTTTCTTACAGAATTAAAGAGCATATTTTTGTGAAGGTAATAAGAAAAAATTTTCTGATCAGTACTTACCGAGATACAGTGCCAAGAAGTTTGTCCAAAATGATGTGGTGGCAGCAACATCGACGAATTCCACATATGTGCATTACATTATTTAGCGGTTTTTATAGTTTTTTCTTTTCTTTTCCAATTTTTTTCTTTTCCTACTAACATTTGGGGCCTGAGAGACCAATACTGTATATAATGTATATATATAAACTCACTGTATTGAACACAATAACCGCACTAAAGTTATTATCATATTATTGTTTACCACTGTTGTTTATTACAATAAACATGCACAAATCTTGTATAATACAGTGGACCCCCGCTTAACGATCACCTCCTAATGTGACCAATTATGTAAGTGTATTTATATAAGTGCGTTTGTACGTGTATGTTTGTTGGTCTGAAATGGACTAATCTACTTCACAATATTCCTTATGGGAACAAATTCGGTTAGTACTGGCACCTGAACATACTTCTGGAATGAAAAAATATCGTTAATCGGGGGTCCACTGTACTAATGTTCTATCATATATTTACATATTTACAATCACTGGACATGGTTTTAGAACTGCTGGAGCTTGTGGAACCCCTTGAAACAAGGCACCATGCACAGAGGCACCTTACATTCCTCACACATAAACCGAGTGTCTTTGTGTCTTTTTTGCCGTCGTTTTGTTTGTGCACAGACGATGCATCTCTTCTGAGCAAATTTCTTCTGAGTTGAAGGAAGCTGTAT